CCACCACCAGCACCACCAGCACCAGCACCAGCACCAGCACCACCACCACCACCACCACCGCCACCGCCACCGCCAATGCCACCGCCACCGCCACCGCCACCGCCACCGCCACCGCCACCGCCACCGCCATCGCCGTCGTATTCATCATCGTCATGCATACAGTTATCGTTGTCGTCAGTGTCAGTATGGTCCTGATTGTCTCTCTTTGTCCATTTACTGTTGCTGCTGCTGCCGCTGATGCATGCAACCGTGCTGCTGCATGCCAGGACTTCTCCGATGCCCTGGACCGCCGAAAGGCCAGCGACATGCATGAACGAGCATAGGTCTTCGCCAAGCTCGCGACAACCGACCCAATGCTTTTGGCCGTGCTAGCAAGATCTAGCAAGTAGTAGGAGGAGCAGCAGTTGTCGTGGCAGTGGTGGTGGCAGCAGCACAGCTGCTTTTGATCGCCAAAAGAGTGCTCAAGCAATAAAGAAGCCTGTATATTTACCAGCACTATTCCTGCCAGTTGCTTATTCTAACTAAAGCTTTCAAGATATTTCAAGCACCGCAAGGCCCTATTTTTGATTGTTAAGGCTCCCTAAACCCTAAACCCTAAACCCATAGCAAGGTGGCCCGGAAGGCCGTGGGCTGCGGCAGCACCTCCCTAAATGGCGATGCGTCGGGCCTAGGCTGGCGAAGGGTTCAAGGCTCCAAGAGGACCGAGGGTTTAGGGTTTAGGGTTTCTGGTTTAGGGTGTCCGGTTTGGGGTTTAGGGTTTCGGGTTTAGGGTTTTGGGGTTTAGGGTTTCGGATTTAGGGTTTAGGGTTCAGAGGTTTCGGGTTTCGGGCTTTTTCTTCGGCGGCTAGCTTTGGCTGGGTTTGGGCTTGGCACCTCCAAGGCTCATGGTGAGAGCAGTGGCATTCCGGACTTCGGTACACTTTCGAAGTAATCAGGGTTTAGGCTTTCGGCTTTCAGTGCCCGGTACAAGGCCGAAAAGGCCATGTAGGAAAGCCTCCCCTGTGCCAGGGTTCCGAATGCCGCGACCCTGGCCCAAGGCGAGCAGGGCTCTGCATGACAACTATAAGGGTTGCTGTGCGGGTTCGCATTAGGGTTGCTATCAGGGTTGTGTGAGATGGGGACGTGTTTCTCTAGATGGCAGGCGAGCCGAGCCGAGATCTGATCTGGTGATATTAGGAGCCTTCTCAGAATACTGTACCCTATTAAATAGTATCCCCCAGGTATTGTCCCTGGTAGTAGAGTACCCTATAGGCCCTATACCCCTCAAAACCCTATTCTTACAATAAAGGCCCCTATCTTGGACATCAAGATTCAATCAACATGCTCTGACTCTGGGCATCAGTTGTGCCGGAACTATTGTCGCCAGAACAGGTAAACCAAGCAAATTAACGCGACTGTTACAGAGAGTGCAGTAGCTACAGTAGTTGTTTCAGTGTTGTAAACCCTAAACCCGAGAACCTTTAAGCCCCATGAACCTCTGAACCCGAACTCTAAGCCCTGAGCGGCAAACCCCTAAACCCCTAAGGCCTTCAACCCCTAAACCCCTAAACCCCTGAAGCCCTAAACCCCAAAACCCTAAACCCCAAAGCCTTAAACCCTGACCACGGTTTTTGCTGGAGACTCACAGGCGGCTGCTGCCTAGCACCTGCTGAGAGCTTTACTCCAAGTCGGATTGCTGTGCATTCGACTTGATAGTTTGACATATGGGCCTTAATGATTAGAATAGGCTTGAGGGTGTATTTACAATAATGATGTCAAGGAACCTGAAAAAACATCAGTTTTCGGGGTGTCGGCTTTCAGAGTTGCGCAAACAAAAGGGCTTGGGAAGTTCCTCTGGAAGGTTTTTCGTGCAAGCACGAAATGCTGCTGCGTACAGAAGCTGCCAGAGCATGCTGAGAAAATGGCTGCATGCCATGTGAATAAGCTGGCATTTTGATCACACTGACAAGCTTAGTCAATCTGCTTGTAGTGTTGGCGGATCATTGTTATCATAAGAGTCAACAATGGATTTTTGATGTTGGTTCTCATTATGGTTTCCACCATTAATCGTATTGCTATTACTGTTGTGATTGCCAGTATTATCATCATTGTTATTTCTATCACTGTTATGTTCTGGTTCTGCTTCCTCTGAGTATGTCGTCACTATCATTATGGTTCTTATTGGCATTATCTTAGTATTACAAGTATTGTATTATTCTCCATTTTCTTCATCTTCTTCTTGTGATTCGTCGTCTTATTCCTGTTCTTATTCTTATCATTCGTCTGAATATTGTTATTGTAACAATAGTAATAACCATGGTAGTAATTATTGCTATCATTATTAGTGCCTCTATAATTAACAGTGTTATTATTATTATTATTATTACCACCACTATCATTGTTTCTATTACCACCACTATCATCAGTAGTGCCATGAGGACACAGCCAGCTTCCGCGACCGCCTTGGAACTCTGACACGATCTTGCTTGTGCATGTTGCTCGCAGCAACAGTAATGTCCAGGTGGTAGCACGCAAGGTTATCATATATGTTTACAGTGTGTATAGTATATACAGGTCGTGCTTCTCTCGAGAGAACCTTCTGACATCCTAAGCCCTTTTCCATCATTCGCGCCCGCGCCATGTCCGCCATGACTCCAGAGAAGACCGGCCTGGCTAGGAGCCCGACTTGACTTCGGCAAGCGCAAGAAGGGATGATCCAAGCAAACAAGTTTACACCATGGGAGTACTGTAGCAGGTTCCAGGTTCAATGATGATGAAGATGTCCTCGAGCCATTGCCTTCAAATCTGGTTCTAGTTTTCAGATATATGCAGAAAACTTCGCATGTCCGAGTTGACCTAGATCACCTTGCGTGGATCCACGGACACCGTGGTGGAGTTCTTCGGCTACGCCATCAACAGCATTCTGTACCAGCGTGGGTGCCCTCTCCAGCTTTGCTGTGGCCGTCAGTTTGGGCTTAGACTGAATATAGCGATGAAAGCATGGTCTACATAGCGAAAGTGTTCATGACCAGATAGGGAATCGATCGTACTGTCTCCGCTTACGAAAGTTAGCTAGCCCTCTGTCTTTGAGATGACGTCGCCAAATCCCTAAACCCTAAATCTGAGTTTTGCAAGCTCGCGGTAGGGTCTACCCACCAGAGAACTTCACTTCGGTGGCCAAGTACGGATTGCATCTCGGCAGCACCTGCGATTGTTTATAAACCTAAACCCTAATTTCCTAGCCCTATAAACCCTAAATCCTAAATTCCAAACACTAAACCCTAAACCCTCAATCCCAAACCCTTACTAAACCCCCAAAGCTCTAAACCGTTCGCTGCCCAGAGTCCCACTCGTGTCAAGGTTTCGATTCGGCTTATCTGGATCTGCTTTTGAGATGACTTTCAAGCGATTAAGGTGCGGGGGATTCAAGCTCGTGCCCAAGTTACGACACTTCGTGTCCGGTTCGTGCCTTTTAGGCTGAATTGTTGTTGGGCGCCGCTTATGTATCGCGCTGAGTTACTGCCGGACCGATTGGACATGTTGGACATGGAGTATGCGGGGATGGCGATACCGGCAAGCTCTTCAATGTCTTGTGTCTCTGGGTGGCTTCCAAAGCCCCCAAGCAGAAAGACGCCCCGACCTCTTAAAGACTGTCCAGGCATACCCAATCAGCAGGCCACGCACACAGCAAAGGCAGAGCCACGAGCCCTAGAAATCTGGAGAACCCTGCATCCTTAACCTCCCAGCTGGTCCGAGATCGGAATTCTGTGCCGCGGATCGCGGGCTCTGAGTTAGCAATGACCATTTCCATTTTCTAATCATGCACCACCCCCTAGCACCCAAACCATAACAACCTATACCTCAACCCTAACTCACCGAAAAAGACCCATAGGTAGAACCCTAGGAATAACTCACCTGAAGACCCAAAACCATAGCAACCTATACCTCAACCCGAACCTCACCAAAATACCCATACTAAGACCCACAAGATAGAACCACTAGAAGACCCATACACCGCCACATAGAAAACCCCCAACCTCAACCCCATAGACGATACCCCCACAGAAAAGCCCATATTCCCCAACTCGAAATCCCTAACCCTTGAAAATGGACCCAAAAGGGTTAGGCATATTGTTGTAACAATAATGAAGTGATAATCTGTAGCAGCTGGTGGGTTGTCTCTGCCTCACACAATCAACCGCAGTATAAGAAGCGATTTGAGTTGTTGTTTGAATTTTATGAATTACAAGAACTGTTAAAATAATTACTTAAAGTATTATTGATATGTATATTTGACAGTGTATAGTTTTTGCATTACGTCCCAGAAACCATTTCTTCACCATAAGCGTATCATAAGAGTGCGGTACTGGTTAATTAGTTTGGAGATGTGCCCCCTATGCCCATTGCTCGTTCAAATGTTCTAATGTTAATCAAAATATTAGAAGATTTTTCCGGTCTAACTGCGTCTAAAGACTAGACATGTTAATATAGCAAGATGGAGAAGCAAGTATGCAAATCGTGTTGCGCGACTAAAGACGTTGAAGAGTTTGACGGCTTTAAGAGTTGTAATAGGTGCCGTGAAGCGAAAAGAAAATGCTATAAGAAAAATCAGAAAGACTATATCCAAGCGAGAAGAGAAGAGAGAGCAAAGGGGAGCCAATTATGCGATGAATGCGGACATAAAGTAAAAAACGAAAACCGGGATGCCCATTTCCATTATGCGTTACATCCGAACTCGGAACTAAATATATTGATGAAAGGTTATTTAACGAAGCTAGGTAATTTAAGGAAAGAGGGCAAACTAAACAAACGATAAATTACAATCAGAAATTAAGGCAGAATATGAAAAGCAGAAAAGGGAAATACGCAACGATTGGACGAACAATTTCCTAACAAGTTTCTAGACGAGCCAGAAAAAGAAGAACAACCTGAAAACGAGAAACCTAAACCTGAAATTGACGAAGTCTTCAACCACGTTAAGCAATTGTTGATGAACGACGAGTTTTTAAAAATTTACTTTATGTTATTTGGTAAGCATAAGGATAGGATAACTATTGAAATCCCAGTTGATAGGTCATAAGTATAATGTAGTTATAATCCGTAAGTTGTTATAGATTATAACTTTATTATGGTTTTACCTTATCCCCAAACCTTATTCCTATTATAGATATTTCATTAGAGATGACCATTTCCATTTTCGCGGGTTAGGGATTTCAGGTTGGAGAATATGGGTTTTTCTATGGGGGTACTTCCTATGGGTCCTTTGGTGGCTACATGCTATGAATATTGTATGGGTTTTTGGTGGGTTTGGGGTTGAGGTATAGGTTGTTATGATTGTGTGAAATGGGGTGAAAAGGGGGGGGTGCATGATTAGAAAATGGAAATGGTCATCACTCACTCTCTGGCCCCGAAACCCTAAATCATAAGTTCCAAACCTTGGGCCCGAATTTCCTACCTTGCAATCTTCGACTCCAAGAGCCTCCATCTCGACCTAGCCTGCTTCCCTAGGTCGATCCTCGTGACCAAAGACAAAGGCCTGCAGGAGTACCTGGGCGAGGCGAGGGAAGGGAAGGAGTTTCAAAGGTAGTGCTTGTCCCTAGCATAGCTCCATGTACAGTACTATAGCTTTGCTGTTGACATGAACCGAATCACTGTGATTCCGACTACGTGCCGCTACTGCTAGTACGACGATAACGACGACAACGACCACGGTGACGACGACGACCACGGCTGCTGCCACGCATTGCTTTTTACTTCTGCTTCTGTTACTGCTGCTTCTATTCCTGCTCCTGCCACTGCTACCGCTGCCACCGGCTCCAGCGACGACAACTATGACAGCATAATACTTTTAGAATAATCATGCCCGTATATATTAGCAACGGAAGTGTAACCAGACATGTGGATGGAAGTGATCTTTGTATCAATATTTATATCACTGCTACATAAAATGCTACTAGAAGTAATCCTTCTCTCAAAAGCTAGCGCGAATCTTTACCCCAAGTGCCTGCTCAGCCTCGACCTCATGCTCCGGCCATGGCTCAGTAGCTACAATACTATACTATACCATGATGTACCATGAAATCCTATAATGCAGTATGCCATCATCTACTATAGTACACTATACAATACACCATAGTATACACCATGGAATACTATCATATACAACCCTGAACCCAAGACCCGAAACCCTCTACTCCTCAGGTCCTGAAGCAGCTGCGGGGCTGGATGATGGTGAGCCAAGTCGCATCCTTGGTCTCGTCAAGGCCAAAAAGTCATGCCTCAAACCTGATAAGGGCCAGGGTGGCCGTGACACCGGTGATACGGTCTTTTGCTGTTGTTTAGGCATGCTAGCAGGGATGCTCCAGATGTCCCAGCTGGTGATGGGACTCCTTAGGCCAAAGGGGAAAGCTCCTCCCTGTCCATGGCAGCGCAAGGGCGACCTTGAAGCGCAGAACAGCTGCTGAGTTTCGTGTGCCGCCAGCCCGAGCCAATTCGAGGTCAAAAAGCTGGTTGTTGTCGTGGCGTCGCAGGCCGTGCGAGCTGCGTTGGTTGCTTCGCTTCTGGCTCAAGCGCATTGCTTTCGTGTGTGCTGTTCGTGCTTTGCGTTGTAGATGCAAACGCAAGACGAGGAAGGTGTGGCCTGCCTTTCAAAAAGACATCTCCGGCCAGAATGGACCCTACCGCTCAGCATTTTCTATACCTTTCCAGCCTTGTTTACTCGAGCACTTGCTTTGGGACCAAAAAAAGAGGAACTTGCATTTCATACTGTCACCCGTACATTTTATTCTTCCCGACTACCTCATCGCATCATCTCGTACGACAGAGAGAGTCTGAGAACAACTACATCTTGCACTGTTTTCTCACAACTACATTCTAAGTCCTACGCCCTAATCTCATCCTGTATTCTACTATGCTCTCAGTGTTTTCAGGTGACGGAGGAGACCCTCGAGCGCTGGACGTTCGATGTGCAGGCGGCTTTGTGGTATCTAACAAGGGATCGCAATAATAGTTCATAGTAACCATACTTTATATATTCTCTTTAGAAGTGTACTATAACGGCCCCGTAACCCTGAATAACTTCAAGACCTCTCCTTCAGGTTCCCTGTCATAACTGTAACATAATTAACACACTCTACGTATTACGGTGATACAGTGCCGGGTGGGGTTTTAGGCGGTCAGCTTTACTTCTTGTTTGGAGGCAGTCCTTGTATACTCGACCATGCTGCGATTGAGTTTGCAAAGAAGCCTGGTAGATAGAGTGACAGTGACATTTCATTGCTTGAAGTGCAGCTGCCATGAGCCTTGCTACTCTCCATGAAGTGAAGATACTGATCCCAGGTGAACGATGGTGCCACCACCGCGTTGGCAATCCCACAAACGCAGGCCTCAAATCTGCTACATGACGTGCCACGCCTCGCTGCCAGAACTCCGTGGTTCTTTCAACTAGGGAGCTAGGGGGAACAAGGGACTATCATAGGGGTCCATACCCCATTCCCTACTAAGAACCATGGAGAGAAGGAGTTCGCCTTCCGGGGAAATCCAGGAGTTCCAAGCATTGCCAGCCCCGCCCCGCTTCAGGCTGACAAGGTCCGGGAGCAGAAGGAGATACAGGCCTGTGGCTCTTTGACAGCTTGAAGTAAAGTAAGAGAGAGAGAGAGAGAGAGAGAGAGAGAGCCCTGCAGTAGTAGTAGTAGTAGTAGTAGTAGTAGCAGCAGCAGCAGTAGTTAGTAGTAGTAGCAGTAGTAGTCGTAGTCGTGGTAGCGTCAGTAGTCGTAGTCGTAGTCATCGTAGTAGTAGTCGTCGTCGTCGTCGTAGTAGTAGTAGTAGCTCCCCGGGCCGGAGCTCGTTACCATTCTTTCATGCAACTAGCCGTACGGGAGCCAAAGAGCTCAAGTAGCTTGAAACGTGAGAAATATCCCCTGCATGGTAGTCGCTAATTCTATTATGTCTACAAATATAGTGATACATCTCAAAACCTGCGCGGCCCACACTCTTAAGGATAGCCAAGGGCGTCTTTGGACAGATCGACGGGGCGAAGCAGAGGTTCTAGGATGTTGGGTCTCGAAAGTTGGACAAAAGCAGTTAGATGCACACGTGCACGCACACACACACACACATATATATATATATATATATATGCATGTATGTACACACACATTGTATATACGCATGTATATGTATATATACCCATATACATATACATATACATATGCATATACATACAGTTTGCAACTAAGGATGTAGAATATACCACAGCAGAGATATCGGACATCGTGCATACTCTTGAATATCAGTAGATGCAGCTGTGATTCCGGCCGACCTTCGCCACCGGGCTGGCTCAAGAATCCGCGCTCCTCCGGCGTCCTCTTCAGAGAGTCTGACGCTGGGTCCCCAGAAATCACCCATGAAAAGTTGCCTAATTAGTTTACACTTCCTGAATGTACCTGCTTATACTTATACTTGTACTTGTACTTATACTATATTGTACCACAAACCATTTGAAGGTCGCCAGAAGTCGTGTGGCCAACCAGGATCCTGAGAATAAGACCATTCAGCGCGTTTCGTTCAGAAGTTGGAGGGTTCAAGGATTAAGGGTTTTTTGAAAGACCCTAAGGGGTGTAGAGTTTAGGGTTCAGGGTGCAGGGTTTAGGGTTTAGGGCCAGGGTACAGTTTTTCTTGTAAAGGTTGATGGCGTTTCAATGGGGTTAGGGGACCCAGGGCGAGGACATGTTGTTGTAGGACACGAAGCCCGAAATCAACGAACCATACAATCAGAAGTCCAAGATGCATAAAAGGTATGCTTCCGTTCTGATTCAAGTAGAAGTACTTAACTTTGTCAGAAGCAGGGAGACAGAATGCCTCCTAAAGAAGACGGCTGACTGGCAAGCGCCCGCCGAGGTTTGGACACGAGCCCTGCTGCAATGAGGTACCGCGATCTGAGATAACTTGGGGCTCGAAGCTGGAAGACCTAGCCCAAAAGTCCGCTCAAGTGCTATGCTGAGCATCTAGGCTTCGGTTGTGAAGCAAAAGTTTCCTGCTGCCTTGCTGCGGCTCCATGCAGTGTTTGCAGGTTGCTTGCTTGTATTGCCGGTGTTTCGGGAGCGGTCATTCGACATTCGCTGGTGCCTGCACTGGCCCTTGTCAGGCACATGGCATCAGCACGTTTCTTCGCAGCTGTCTTGTTGGCCTGTGCCTAAATATTGGTGGCCGCAGGGCGTCGAGTGGGTTTTCAGGTAGGCCTACCCGTCGGAAGGTCACTGCGACTGTCTTCGTGGTCCAAACACGCCAGTTTCCACGGCCGACTACGCAGTACTTTGGGCTTAAGCTGGAGGGTTTTAGAGGTATGCTGAGACATGCCGCCATGCGGCGCGTGTGCCCATCATCGACTTGTGCTCTGTCGCAGAGAAGCGTGGGCAGCGCTGGTCTGCCGTTAGCGAGACTGCACTTCCTGACCCCGTTCAGAACGTTCTATGGCGGTCCTTCTCCGCGCTGGCCAGCCGCAGGCTACGCTGCCACGTCCCTCGTCGGCCAAAGGCGGTGGAGTTCGGCGATGCCCGGTGGCTGCCTGGAGAACTACCTGCAGCTCAAGGCTTCAGGCGACATTCAGGAAGACCCCCGCCAGGAAGTCTGCATGAAGATGCTCGACGACCTCGCGAAGGACTTGATGAGCTATTCCCCCAAGATGCTGGGTTGCTGTTAAGGCTCTTAAATGAAGCTACTATCAGTTACTATCGTAATGGAACTCCAATATTTACTATATATCCCCCATTATGGTAACTTAAACGAAGTTCCTTAACAGCAGCCCAGGATGACCCGGGCTGCCAAGCCCACCGGGCCGGCCCCCAGTTCCTCCGGTGGTGGTGGCGGCTTCTTCGGAGGCCTTTTTGGAGGACTGGGTTGCTGTTAAGGAACTTAGTTTAAGTTGCCATAATGGGGAAATATGGTAAATCACAGGGTTTCCTTATGATAGAAAATTCTTTTAAGTTCCTTAACAGCAACCCAGGAAAAGCCAAGCCAGCAGCCAAGGCTCCTGCACCCAAGGCCGAGGTCTCGCTTAAGCCGGCACCCGGCCAGAGAGGGCTGTACTTGTGGGGAGGCACAGGAACTGGCAAGACCTTCATGATGAATATGTTCTACGACAAAATCAATGTGAAGGAGAAGAAGCGAATCCATTTCCACGAGTGGATGATTGACGTGCACACAAGGCTGCACAAGAAGCAAAAGGGCAGCAGTGCGAACAGGGACAACACTGCCGACGATTTGGTGGAACAGGTGGCAACGGACATGATGAGGGAGGGCTGGCTGCTTTGCTTCGACGAGTTTCAGGTGACACACATTAGCGATGCTATCATCATGAAGCGCATCTTCTCTGTGCTCTTCGAGCTGGGGGCCGTCGTCGTGGCAACTTCCAACCGCCCTCCACAGGACCTGTACCTGAACGGTCTCAATCGCCCTCTTTTCCTGCCTTTCATTCCCATGCTTGAAGACTTTTGCAAAGTACATGACATCGGTGCAGAGGTGGACTACCGAATGACCTCCACGCGCGATGGGGAGGACGACCGAGTTTACATTACCCCGAATGGATCTGCCGAGCAGAAAATCCTGGAGTATAAGTTTGCCAAGATCTTTGGACCCTATTTGGAAACAGTTGCTTCGAGTTCAAGCCAGTATACACGAAACCGAAAACCCAACTACTCGTAAACGCTAACCCGGCTTTGCGATTATGACTATCATGATTATAACCGGATGATTATGGTTTTCCTTGGTATGTTTGATGGCAGCCTCGGTGGTGGCCCAGGATATGCCAGGGCAAGTTCCGCACCGGTGCACAGGTGGAGGCCCAGGGGCGCAAGGTCCTTGTGCCCCGCTGTGCAGAGATGTCCGACGTAGCTTGGTTTGACTTTTCCGACTTGTGCAACAAGGCTCTAGGAGCAGCAGACTATCTGGCCATCGGGCATGCTTTCCATACAGTGTTCTTGGCAAACATCCCCAAACTAACCATGCAAGAGCGCGATCAAGTGCGACGCTTCATCACTCTCATCGACTCTCTTTATGAGTGTCATACCAAAGTGGTCTGCACAGCAGAGCTCGATCCGATCCCGTTGTTCTACGTCTCTGAGGAGGAGCGAAAAACTTCAATTGCAGATGAGATTTTCGCTTGGGATCGCACGGCTGCTTGCCTATCATGGTGGAAGGGAGATGCGGTAGCCCGGAGCTAGGAAAGCTGATCACCAGCTGATCGAGGTATCGAGCAATATTAGGGAAGGTTTACGGTTTCTGCTTGTCCTGGCCCGAAGTCGTTGCAGTTACCGACCCCCCAAGTCCTCCCCCCAAAAAAACCCAAAGACTCGAGAGACCTTTAAGTGAAGTGAGGTAAGCCGTACTATAATGTGCTGTAATGCACTATAATATACCATAATATACCATAATATACTAGAATATACTATATCATACTATAAGATATTATAACATACTATAAGATACTATATAGTATACTACAAGGTTAGCCGGCTCATGGAGATGCAGTCCACCACCTACCTGAGTGCAGCCTCCCGGTCCCTCAGCAGCGAGCAGTTCCTTGGGCAGTACAAGCTCAAGAGCCTTTCGGACGAGGACTCCTTTGAGTTTCGGGTTTAGGGGTTTAGGGGTTTAGGGTTTAGGGTTGAGACTCTCGGACGAGGACTTCTTGGGGGCAACTTTTGGGGGGTTTTGGGGTTTAGGGTTTAGCTTGGGGTTTCGGGATTGGGGTTTATGGGTTTTAGAGTTTTAGGGTTTTAGGGGCAGCTTTCGCATGAGGACTTCAAGGAAATGTGGAGGCGCTATGACCAAGATGACAGCGGCCACTTGGACATGGACGAGCTCCGGCTCTTCTTGGAGGATCTTTTGGAGAAGCAGCAGGGACATCGGAATCTTTCCGACGAGTTGTTCGAGATTTGCCGCGAAGCTATCGATGCAAATGCCGATGGCGAAGTGAGCTTCGAAGAGTTTCAGGATTATTTGTCTGACTACTCAACGATCGAGTCTGCACTCGGCGGTTCCTGAGGAGCTTTTCAGATGATCCGCAATTTAATTTGATTCACCCTGTATTTCTATCGGTTTCAGGGCACGCATTTGCAAGACCGACGCAGAGCGGCCCTGCGGAAAACCGATGTGGAGCTATCCTCACCGTAGCATCTCCAAGGGTGGTCTGCCAGAAGCGTCTCAATACCCTGAGGCTTTGGGATGTGTGACAGAGGCTGTCCAGCCGGATCCTCAGAACCGGATGCCTTTTCAGCTTTTCGTCTTGCGCCGTCACTGAGAAGGGGCTAGGCCCCACTCTACACCCTGAGCCCAATACTCTAAACCCTAAACCCACCCCTAAACCCTAAACCATTCTTCTTCTGCACTGCCCTGAAGCCCCCCATGCTGGCTTGGCCCAGGCACAGTGGTGCTCCGGAAGAGGCCATGCCTGAGCAAGCGCATAACTTCAAGAATCCTGGAAGCTCTTTACAGCCACGACGTTTAGGGCTTAGGGTTTAGGGTTTGAAGATGCTCTACATGTCCACATGCCGCCCTCTAGCCATGAAGAGTTTAGGAAAGAGATTCTTTCTTTCGCCTGGCCATGGGCAGGCTCCCAAGGAAAAGCCGGTCACCAACCGCATCACACCTTTCGGCAAGCAGGCCCAGAGGGTCGGCGCAAAGAGTTTCCTGAAGCTTTTTTGGCTCCCCAAACTTCAAGCGCGCCACAACCCTTAATTTCCAATCCGTGATCATACAGTATCAGTATCCACATGTATGTATGTACGTATGTATGTATGTATGGATGTATGTTTGTTAGCTTGTTTGCTTGCTTGTCTGCTTGCATGTAAGTATGTTTGTACGTCTGTACGTATGTACGGACGCATGTATGTATGTACACGTACGTATCCATCCATGCATCCTTGCATCCACACATCCATGCCTGCGTGCCTGCATGCATCCATACAGGCATTAATACATTGAATACATACATACATACATACATACATACATACATACATACATGCATACCTACGTGGTGCGTACGGGCGTATGTACACACACACACACACCCACACACGCGTACGCACCCACATACAGACACACACACACACACACGCACCTACTTATACTAAGGCCCTTCCTTCCCTACACCAAGAGGAATGGCTCGGTTTCCTTGCTGTGAACCGGCTGCTCACGCCTCCCTTTGCAGGACACCGCAACTGAGCTTCAAGACCAGGCTTCGAAGAGCCAGGAGCCCCCTGGGCACATAACATAAGTAGTGGAACTATATGATTTGGGGCTTAGGGTTTTGGGATGAGCTACGCAACAGCTACATGCATAAATAGCGCTTAGCCGTAGATGCGAGTATACACACACACACACACACCTTCAACAATATGGATATATATATATATGTATATATATATATATATATGTATATATATATATATATGGATGGAATTCCATGGACATGCAAATAGAAGTACACATAGAATTAATCTGTACATACATGTATATGTCTTTACGTATGTGTATACACCTACATATACAATGCTGGATGAGTAACTTGTTCCGATGTAATATAGGGCCCAAAAAATTACCTAAACTATGTTGGAGGTTCCTTATTATAATGACATTTTAATATACCCCAAAACCTTATTCTAGTTCTTAAGGCCCCTATATTAGAGTCAGCACGGGCTAGGGTTTTTGATGCATCAGGTCGTAGTATCCCTTCCGAGTCCTAATACAAGCGCGGTACAACGTACCCTCCCATAGCCTCAGTCTAAGCCTAACCCTAAACCCTAAAACCCTAAAGCCTTAAACCAGTCAGAGCCCTATGTAACGGCCCTTAGAGTTTCGGGGTTTCCCGTGTTTAGGGGTTAGGGTTTAGGGTTTTGGGGGTCTTGTCAGGGCGCTGTGAAACTGAGAAGGCGGCGATTCGTGGCGGCAAGGGATGTTTCAGTTGTTGAGGCATTATAGTTTAGGGTTTAGGGTTTAGGATTATGGAGGGACGGGTACACCGTGCAAGCTACACTTTCCACCCCTTCAGCCACTCAACCTCAAAGCCCAGGGCGCTCAACTCGGAATTCAGAATAGATTTGAGACCCTGCAGGACACGTTGGTTGATGCCGTAGAGACGGCCGAAGTGGCTGAGATCAAGCGGGCTGTGTTCCGCGCGCTGACACGGCTGCGCCGGGATCTGAGATCTTGGTGGCAGTGCTTTCCTAAGATTTTGGGTTGCAGAGGGTGCAATATAGAGGCCTCCACACTAACGGTTGCAAGTTGCACGGGGCTCGTGCTAGGATTTCGCGCCAGCGGTCATACATGCGTAGACGAAGGCTACAATGCGGCACGACTCCAACGTTCGGGTCTTGCCATCCCTTAGACCGCTGTTCGCATCTTTCAAAGGCAGACTTCGTTTTGTGCTCACTTCTTGCCATGTATATCAGATCTTTGCAACCATGCCTTGCAATGTCGAACTTCTACTTTTTCCTGAGCCCCATGCTATCTGAGACCTGACCATGAAGCCGTCTTGGCAGGTGCTGCCACCATCAAGGAGTTCGACACAATTGCACGTCTTGAAACCCAGGCCGTTGATCCCACCTCTATGTCCTATGCCTTCGCAGTTTGCTGTTTTTCAAGAGAAACCCTGCCCTAAACATGCCCAAAAACCCCAAACCAGCCTTCGGTTCAACTCTGCCAGTCGATCGACGCCTACAACGATGCGCACCACTACCGCTCGGAGAACCCCCTGGCGCACCTTCACGAGGCCAGCTGATAAGTCCTGAACACTGATAAGCAGAAACCCTAAGCCTTAGTCCCGAAGCTGTACTATAATGTATCATAATGTGCTATAATGCACTATATTATTACTATAATATACTATAATATACGATAATATACTATAATATACTATAATATACTATAATATACTATGATATACTATAATAGACTATAATAGACTATAATAGACTATAATAGACTATAATAGACTATACCATACTTTAGCATACTACATCATAGTATAATATACCATAATATACTACAATATACTACAATAGACGATAATATACTATAATATACTATAATATACTATAATATACTATAATATACTATAATATACTATAATATACTATAATATACTATAATATACTGTCATATCATATCATATCATATCATATCATATCATATAATATAATCTAATATACAATACCATAACAAAACCCTACTATGCCACACTCTACCATAATACACTTTAATGTGTTCTAGAACCGAACAGCAGTGAATTCCAGAACGACCGCGTTAGCACCCTACTGAGGACGAGGCGCCGGTGCAGACGGACAAGCTGAAGCAGGGGGCTCGGCGTCGCCGAATGGGTTTAGGGTTTAGGGTTCCTGAATGGGTAGTTCTACATTTGGGTCCCTTTTCAGGCCCCCAAATAGTACGGCAGCCTCAAAAGGACCCTAAAAGGGACCCTGACTTAGCACATCTACTATAGAAGCCTGAGTAGTTGCCAATAATATTCCCTAAATCCCTTATCACAATTGTACTATAATATACTCCCAAATGCTGTTTTACTGAGTAAGGCTCTACATCATACTACGATGGTTGCCACTTCTTTCAGGTTGTAGCGACAATGCCGCATGCCACCTGTTTGACTTGATGCTGTGCCAAAAGCAAGTCATTGGGGGCATTCTGATTGTGAACTGAGTTGAGGGATTGGCGATTGTGACGGTGATGCTGAAAAGGGATGACAGGGGCGATGAGTAGCTCCAACATACTAGCACAGACCATGATAAAGACGGGCACAACCAAGGCTTGTGGTCTATTTGCTTACCGCACTGTGTCAGGCAAGACTGTCTGTCTAGACACTCTTATATTCTTCAGGACGACTGCAATCACGACGATGCATCTGCCTCATGTCTTTCAGGTCTGCTTGAGCTCGAGCCCATCCTACATCACAACATGCGGTGTGATCTCTCGCGATGTTGAATTCATGGTACCAATGCACACGGGCACAAGGTTTGTCTGTGGGCCTCTCTGCCTCTTTTGGCCTTTCTGTCTGTATGTATGCAGGGATGAAGGTATACCTTGCGTTTACTTGCTGTTGTAGGATCAGGTGTTTCAGCATGCTCTCCTCTAGTCGAATTTCGTGCCGAGCTGCACTCCGGGGAGAGGGCCATGGATGTCTGATTTTGAAGCAGCACAGCTGTCGGCCCAGGTCCTTCCACTGAGTGCTTTGGCGACAACCCAACTCCGTCCGACGCGGAATGCAAGAGACGGGCCAGTGCTGGATTGCAGGTCTCTCGCTTCTGATCACCGCGTAGTTTCGCTTGTGTTCAAGATCTCTCTTGTTTCGGCTTACAGCCTGTGGCTCGCATAAGGGACAGCATGTGTCGGAGGCTCGGGTCAGCCTTGAAGTTGCTAGAGTCAGTAACAGAATCCCTGAGGTCCCTGACTTGTTGCAAGCTGCCTGATCTGAACATCTCAGACGTCCCCCCAGCTCCTCTCAACATCTAGCGTGACACTGCATGGAGCACCGCTGCACGTCTAGTCCCTAGTGGCGAGAAGCCGCAGAACGCTGGGTTGAGTGCTGCCGCTCTCATAGCAGCAGCTGTTGCCGCAACCCATGCCAGGCTCTCGGTCGGTTTGTGGCATCGCCGAGTGCTCCTCTCACTCTTCAAACTCAAAGCTCAAGGCTTAAGGATCAATCTTTGGAAACCCCGGAAGCCCCTCGCCATGAGTCCCGAGGCAGAAAAGAAACTCTTCAAAGCTGCGAAACGGCAAGCCCAGAACCCTGTCAAAATCCGGCATAAACAGAAGCACCCTACAGAGATCCCAAGGAAACACCGCACCCACGAAGCTTCAAAACTCTGAGGCCCCGGCCGCCAAGACCTCACGGACACCGACGTGCCCGAGAAGGGGTCCAAGGAGCCGAGTGTTTAAGGGTAAGATGGGGGCCCTAATAGTTACCATGGTACAATATACCCCCCCCCCAAAAAAATCCTATTCTAATTGGAGAGGAAGGGCTTCTAAAGCGCTTGTGGTCACGATCAGTGGCGCTTAGCAGGTGCAACGAGGAGTTTGCTATTGCCGGGTGCACTAAAATGTTTGAATAAGTCTGAATAGTATCAGTATTCCTTTGGGTTCCCCAATGTAATTTATCTTTAGGCTAACATCCTCCAAGACCTTTCGCAAACCATTGAGGCAACATCTTACCGTCTGTCCTACAACTCTTCGCCTTGAGACTCCCTGCCTTCCGTCCAGACGTTCAGTTCCAGGAAGCAGGTCGAAGAAGGAACTGCTGAAGACGCACTTCAACGGGAGGAAGGCGGATTTCGTCTGGTGCAGGGCCGGGTGGTTTGCTTGTTTAGGGGTTTGTTTCCTATACCTTCAATCAGCATCTCCTGGATCAGCTTACTGCAGCGCAAGTTATGATGTGGCATGGGCCTTGCGTTCTGAAGCCTGCGTGCCTGGACCGTGTGCGAGACGAACTAGAGTGTCGAGGAAATAGCCTTCTTTCGCAGGGGTCCAGCAGCAGTTGCAGTTCGCAGAAGCCTTTGCCAGATTCCAAGCGGATTGTGATTTCAGAGCGGCAGAGCTTTTGGTCATGCGAGGTATGCGATAGATCCCAGGCTACACTGTGGTAGAAAGACAGCTGGCATCCATGCGCCGTTTCTTCTGCCTCACAATCCTTCAGAATGATGCGACACATGTTTGGCCCGACACCCTGAAAACCCTACTATGAGCCTTGTAACACCAGAACTCAGTCGGCTCCCTGAGATCCTTGCATCCGTGAGTGCCCGCAAGCCTGAACCCAGGAAGGCGAAAAAGCAACGCACCCTGATCTCGCGCAGCTTCGTGGCGGGCTGCCCAGAGACGGCTTCTTTCGGAGTATGATTCGTCAGTGCTTGGAGGGGGTGGGGATGGGGCCGTGGCGTTGAGCCAAGAATTTTGGACCTTGGGGGCTTTTGGTGGTGTGTGTTTGTCAGGCTTGGCTTCTTTCCTCTCTTGCCAGATGCAGAGGGTCCGGATGTCGATGTCAGTCTGGTCCATGTCATATAACTACGCACGAAAAGGATGCTGACCCACAAACCGAGGCCCTGGACCTAAACCCTGAATCCTCAACCCTCAGGGGCGCAATGCACTTAACAAAAAGCCCTAAACCCTAAACCCTAGGCGTTTTGAGCCCTGATGCCGACGGCCCCTTGAGGATACGCTTCGCTGTGGGCGGCGGGCTTCCAGATGTGCTGCAGTCTTGCGGCAAGGCCGGCAATCAGGGGAGCATCCGGAGGCTAGAAGTGGCCGTGACTGTGCAGCTCAAAGACTAGACAGTCTACTGATTTGCCTTAAACGCTAGCCGAAAACCCCAAACTCTAAACCTTGAGCCCTAAGCCCTTAAGCTTAAACTCTAAAGCTTAAGCACATCAGGTGTGAAGAGGCGCTTCGGCCAACTTCAGGTGGGAGAGCGATGGGACTGTCGTTTAAAGTCGGTAATCTGCGAAGAATCCGTTCACGCCGCTGCTGCTTCTACAGCAACGACAACAACAACTCGTCCTCCTGCTGCTGCTGCTGCTGTTGCTACTACCACCGCCGTCGACGCAAGCACCACCACCACGCCCGCCGCCACCAGCACCACCACCGCCACCACTGCCTCCGGCAAATGTATTCTCACTGGTACCAGTCATCGCCTGGTGCAAACTCAGCAGCCACAGACTATGCTGCCCCCTTCTGGCAAGGACGAGGAAGATGTCCAGATGGTGGATCTTGCTGATGTCACTCGTGCCCAGAGCCCCAGAACTCTGCGTTCTCATTGCATTTGCTCCTACCGCTAGCAATCCACTATCTGCAACAGCGACTCCTGCTCTTGCTCCTGCTCCTGCTCCTTGCCAGTGTTGCGAGGCTGACTACTACGCTTTGCTGCTTGTTGTTTGGGACTGTTATCAAGCTGACAGCTGGGGTACGTCCGTCGCATTACCGTTACCGTAAGCCAAAGCCTCGAACTCTCAAGTCCTTGAAATTCCAGATGTTGCAACCCCAGCTGGACCTAAAGCGCATGCTGCTTTCTGCATCAGGAAGGCAAGAGCCACTTCCTGACAGACTCAGGCCAGGGTCTCAGTGGCCCCGGAAAATTTCACGATCGCGTTGTTCATGTTGACGTGCGGGCACCATTCCTTTATCCTTGTGTCGAAATCTAGTACCACCACATAACGTCGCCAAGTCGTATGATGTCATGCGAAATTGAAGGCCGGTTGACCCAGGGTCGGTTGCCAAACAGTCACAGTCTAAGTGAGCCCAAAGGCACAACCGGGTGGCAGCTTGAGAAAAATTGAAATTTCTCTATGGTTCCTATCGAAGTACCTATTCATACAGCTACAACCCAGACAAAGAGTCTTTGCTGAGATTCGCCTCATACGCCGACTCCACGCTCAGTCAGCCTGGAGGCTGGTGCAATCTGCCCTTGGCTCCGATATGGGTCGTTCTCCCTTTTAGGGTACTTTCTACAAGGGTGCCGTACTATCTTGGGGGACGTAAAACGGGAACCTAATTTAGATAACTACCCATAGGCAGGTAGGGTAGGTGTAGAAGTGGGTGGAGCCAATCCTCTTTCTCCGAAGGTACGCTCCTCGGGTCGCAGCGTCATCTTCGTCAGGCGGCCGTTGGCATTCTCGTTTCGCAGCGGAATTTCACAGTTTTGGCTTTGTTCCTCTCGTGATGATTGCTGTACTCGTAGAAGGGACGGCACGACGAAGATGGCAGGAATCGAAACTCCAAGCTTCCTCCTTTATCGCCTTCCTGCGGCTTCTTGGTGGCATTTCGTTGGTCGCTGAAAATGGTTCAGGGTTTATGAGCACGGTGTCTTTCGTCGTATTCTTGTCGTCTTTGTTGTTATCGAGCACAGGTATCATGGCGGTCCGTTGTTCTGTGGGTGGTACCACCATGGATGCTCTTGTCTCTGCTATCATCACTACTTGTCAGGGAGCGCAATAGTCAGCTCCGGAAGCCGGAGTGGCTGGGTGTGTGGCTCATGACAGAATATAGGCGCCTAACAACTAGGTTAGGGTTTGGCGAGATGTTCTAGTATAGATATTTTCTTATATATATATATACACATAGATATTATGTATATATATATATATATATGTAGGTGCGTATAGGGACCATACGGGAATACCATTGCTCATTATTCCGGTGGCTCGCAGGCGCCTACCAGGGAGACGAGGACCTGCTGGGTGTCAATGGCACATAGCAGAAGAAGGCTTGAGAGCTCTATTGTACAGATATACAAGGTCCTTCATCGTAGTCCTATCATAGACTACTACTGTATGCGGGCAGTACCCAGGCTCTAACTTTGGTGAACCCAATGAATCTTGGACTCTGGAGTATGCTGGAAGTTTAATGTTTGACGGATCTTGTTCGTGTTCGGACTGGCATTGCAGCAGAAGGACTATGCTCTCTTTTTCGGGGAGCACTTCGATCACCTGTGTTCGAAGCCCAGTGTGCCATAGGTTCAGCGTGACAAACCGAAGGAGCTAGCTGCAGTCCGGAATCAGTGAGCCCGTAATTCAACAGACCCACCTGTCACATCCTTGATTTCTACCCTACCACCCCAAAGGCATTTCATCAAAGCGTATCTGTTATTGTCTGCTGTATAATTCGCTTGTGGTAGTAGTAGTAGTGGTAGTAGTAGTAGTAGTAGTAGTAGTAGCAGGAGTGATGGTGATAGTACATGAAAATCAGAGTGCAGCCTGAGGCAAGGGAGAGGCCAGGATGCTGCAGCAGCCGGCGCACTTCGATTATGCTCCGATCATTCCGAATGACCAGGACCAACTGAGATTTTTAAGCTTACTGGGCTCTAGGTGTCTATGCAAGCCTTTCAGGGCTTGGGGTCCGTCTTTAGGACTTGAGTTTGAGACTTCGGCTTCCTTAGCCTCTCAACACAAGAGAAAAATTCTCTACAACATGATTTGTTTGAGGCAATACACGGGCTACGCTCACATGTCAGCTTTCGAGGTTACCCCAGATGGTTAAGATTTTCTAGGTCTGGAGTGTGCCGTGGGAGCAAGGCCGAGGATCCCAAACCCAGAACGATTCCGAGCTTTATGCGAAGCAGATAAGATCAGGACAGTGCGCAGGAATCCGTGTGCTAGGTTGGCATGTGACGAAGCAGGCAGTACCCCTTTTAAATAACGGACAAGCTTATAATGAGCGTCTCTGTGCTGGCTCCGGCAGCAAAGCTTTTGGGATGCAGACCCATTGAGTCCAGCGACTTTCGGTTTTTGCAGAAGCCCTTGCGTGTTGGCCGGAGGCTCAAGTGCGCAAGACCATGCTTGACCGGATAGTGCCTGGACCTTGGTCGGACCTTGGTGTGGGGGAGCGACATGTCTGGGCAAATCGATGCTGCACATGACACACCATGCAGCATGCGCCACAGCATACAGCAGCATACTCTGCAGCACTGAACTTTACTGTGTCACCTGCTGCACCGTGCTCCACTGTAGAAACATGATCTAAGCATAGGGCGCTATTAATAGCACTAGTACAGGTACTACTACTACTACTACTACTACTACTACTACTACTACTACTCCTGCCGCTGCTGCTACTACTGCTGCTGCTGCTACTGCTACTGCTCCTGCCAGAAAATAGTATCGCAATCGGAAGTGGCATTTACTCCGTCAGAACACAGCAGAATTTGCCGAGCAGAAGCCGCGAAACTCCAGTGCTCGAGCCCTAAGCCCTAACCCCTAAACCCTCCAGCTTCAGGCGTGTCCATCTCAAGTTCGACATGAAGCCGGAAACTCTCTACTTGGCCTGGGGCCGAAAGTAAGGTTTAGGGTTTAGGGTTAGGGTTTAGGGTTTAGGGTCTGCCGATTGCCGGAGAGCTGAGGTCTTTGGAAGCTCCCATTGCTTATGCGGGGGACGGAGTGGTTTGGGCTTTGGGTTCAGGGGCTGGAACCAACTACTAGATTCTGCTTGACGCAGGCTTGCAGAAATCATGGCCTCTTCAGCTGTGCAAAACAGGATCGAGTTATGATGAGCACTCAGGCTGTATCTTTGATTGACGAGTGCCTCGCGCTTCGACTGCCTTGCATGCGGCATCGCTCTCGGCATTTTTCTCTCTATGCCTCAGCGCCGGAGTTTTTAGGGAGTGATCGACTCTCGGACACCTGAGGCCGCTTCTTTTGGCCCCAGTCGCCTTGCTGGTAGCTGCGAAGTTCGAGGACATGCGGCCGGGCTCGCTCCTGTATGCCTTGCTGAGAATCCCCACTGGCATTTCTTGATGGAGCCACTGAAGGATCCAAACATTCATGAAATGATGCCTTGATGTCCAAATCCATGCTACCCCATACAGGCCCACCGACACCCAGCTGCTCCAATCAACAAACCATACCCCAAGAAGCTCTGACCTCTTCCCTTCGCCATGTTCGCTCAGCTCATTCGACCGCTGACCGTCGATGCTTTCTTCCGCGATGTTTGGGAACGGGCGCCGCGGGTTTTCCAGGGAGCCCTGGAGTCCCGCTTGGCGCCTCTGAGCTGGGAGGCTCATGATGCAATGTACTATATCATACCATGCCATGCCATACTATACCATGCTATAGTGTACCATTGTACCATACTAATACTATCTTATGCTACATCTGTACTGCAACATGCCATACAACATAGTATCCTTCTGTCTCTAGTTCAAGAAAGGGGATGTCCTGACAACGGGCTAAAGTTTGTACTGTAAAAGGAACGAAGATGAAGGTTTTGGAGGTTTAGTCGGAGAAGGGGCGCCCAGCTTTGTTAGGTGCTCGATGAGGTGCTCCTGCGAGCCTTGGCGCCCGGGTGCCCCGAAGAGACAGAGCTGGTGATCTACAAAGGCCTGAAGCTCTCCGAGGAGCACCCCTAAACTCTAAACCCAAAGGTCTAAACTGTAAACCCCCATCCATGAACCCTAGCCCTAAACCGAAGCCCTCCGAGGAGTACTCCTCTCCTACTGCTGCCTATCTGGACGGTGCCTCAATCATCGTGAACCATGTGGCTTGGTTCCGCTTCAGAAATCTGCCTTAACTTGCCATGACATTTCTGTAAGTTGCACAAAAAACGAACGCGCATCGCCTCTCTCTCTGTCTCTCTCTCTCTCTCTCTCTCTCTCTCCCTGTATAGATAGATGGATAGATAGATAGATCGACAGGTACATGTAGATAGATATAGATAGACAGATAGATAGATAGATAGATAGATAGATGGATATAGCTGGATAGATATGATCGTAGCTGTCTACAGCGGCGACATCAACTGAGGTGGACCAGGTTTGGAGGCCGGTTTTCGAGCTGTGCCGAGCCTTGCGCGAGTTCCCCTCCCTGTACGCCAACTGCTACGTGACCCCGCAAGAGTCGCAAGCAGCGCCGCCACACGCAGACGATCGGGATGTCATCGTCTTCCAGCTCGAAGGCTATGGCCTGCAAGAGGAGGGAGAGAGGTTCACGAGGTTCTGGGCCCCGGTTTCGGGCTTTCGTGTTGTGTCAGCTTGTCGAAGGCGCAAAGCACTGGAAGATCTACGGTGAGGCTCCCATCTATATGCCCTACCCAAGCGAGCAGGTGGGCAAGAACGGCCTCGAGGTCCCTCCCGAGCTGCTGGACTCCACGCCTGCTTTCGAGCAGACCTTGAAGGTCTCTTGGGCTTTTCGGGAGAGGGCCCCTCTCTCTTTTCTTGAGGGGGCAGCCACTTTTTCTGTGAAACTCAAGGAGACAGAATCCTAAGAGCCGGTGGTGAGGTAGGGGATGTCCTCTACGTGCCCCGCGGCTACGTGCACGAGGCCACCACACAGAACGAGGCCTCTCTTCATCTGACGGTGGCTGTGCCGACCTACGACTGGACCGTCTCGCGGGTACTCTGCGATGCCTTGCAAACCCTGTTGGATGGTCCCGGAGGTCTCTGCTTGTCTTCTTTGATGTCTTAGTGCAGAGCCTCCTGTCTGGTTTCGTATGTTTCAGTTGCCTCGCGATGTGGGCCCTGCAGGCCGCGAGGAAAATCCTTGGCGGAGAGCTGTTCCCTTCCGGGCCGGGCGCTGGACTGAGATGCCAGGCGTCTTCGACAAGGTGCGTTTGCGAGAGATCGTGGAGCACATCGATCTCAGCCACGCGCAGGCCGTCTTCCGGGCAAAGAACGCTCACCACAACGGGCGTCAAGAAGAAGCCTTGAGCTCTGCAGAGTCCTGCCCAACGGCCCGTCCAGCTGTGACGAGCTCCACCGAGCTACGGTGGCACAGCGGTGGCGGCTCCGTGGATGGCTTCCAGGACGTGGATTTTGTTAGCCCAGACGGGGCACAGTGCAACCTGGAACAGGTGCTAAAGCTGTTGCCGAAGAACTCTCCCCTTCGACCCTCTGAAATTTCTAGTCACGCTTTCCCGAAGAAGAGAAGGCGCACCGAGGACCCCAAAGAGCGGAAGTGCCACAGACACCCGAGGGTCGCTCTGGGATGCCCGTTTTCGAAGATCTGTTTTGCAGCCCTCTGCGTGGAGAGCGGTTTGGCTGCTGTTGTGGGTTCAGGTGAAAAATTCTGCATCGGATGTTGCTGCTTGCCAGTCTCCTCATGAGCCACGGGCCTTCCAGCTAACTTCCCTGCCTGCACAACCGCCTGCTATTGGGAGTCAAGGGTTCGCAGTAGGCTGGAGTAGTTTGCCAGGATCGGGACTCCAGGCTCTACGACTTGTGTGCATTTGGAACAGTGCCCTCTTGCTCTTGTTATGTCCCACCGAGCCTCTGAGCTCAGCGCCAGCTCTTGTGTCGCTTAAACCTGACAGCCCTCATCCTATAGTTTTTCGTTTTAACCTAAACCCCGAACCCCAGACCCATGTGAAGACTGTCGGTGCGAGGGTAACGGGTAACAGAAGTCCGAAGGGGGTAGAAGATTTCAGAGAAAGGTTTAGGGTTTCTCTGCCAACAGTCGTCCACTGAAGCCTCAGCTTCTGTGGAAGTGAAACTGAAAGCCTAGAAGGGCGACCGGATGTAGTCCCCAACCACGGCTGCCTGCCACGGCGCCGCAAAACCAATCGTTTTAAGGGAGGGCCGCACACACTGACTCATGCCCGCGCGATGCAATCCACCAAAGGTAGGACCTAGCGACCGCCCCCCCCCCCCCCCCCCCACAGCAAAGCGCCCTGCGCGCAGGAGCTGCTGGCGCCGGATCTGAGGGGTGTGGTATTGATCGAGGTGCTGTGTTGAATCCAGAGGGAGTGAATATGGGCGGAGGAGCAACATGTCGCGTAAGTACTCACGGCTCTGTACTCGGTCGTGCACCTGAGTCGTGGCTGCAAGAACCCTATCGAGACCTAGCAACGCCAACTCCGTAGCTGGATGTAGTAATCTGGTCAAGCAGGCGCAGCCAAAGCTCAAGACCAAAGCCAAGCTCAAGACCAAAGACCGGGGGCTTGTCTCCGGCCATTGGGGCCAGGCGGCAGGGGAGTACGCGACACAGGCCGAGTTCGTGACCCCGGCGAGTTCATCGGGCTTTGGTCTCCACTTCAAGGGGGAGGTGGAAGCAAGCAAGCAAGCAAGCAAGC